ATTTTTCAACAAGTGGACAAATTGTCACTGAACAACGATCACAATTAGATCCTGAATGTGTTGAATCGTTAGTAGTTCTGAAAGAAGCATATTTAAATAATAATTGGCCAAAAAAATAAGAAGTTTTGGAATTTTCGACTCATAAAGTAGACTGATACAAATCTGTGATGAAGTTAAATACTGCAGAAACCTTTTTACAGCAGACGAATTCATAAATGAAATTTGTTTGATTTTTTTTTCTTTGAAATATCATGTATAACGATCGTAGATGTGGATTATTGTCAGTACGAGTAAAATGTTAGCCACCCAGTCAGTCACCTATACGTTTTGAAAATTCGTTTTAACGCGGTTTTAGCTTCAAAATACGCGAAACTCTGTTTACGAAAATTTTACCGGGAGAAATTCGTTTAAAAAGAAAAGCGCCAGAATCGCGTTTGAGGTAATCATAGATTGCGTTAAATGCGCTAAATTTTTCGTAAGCAGAGTTTCGCGCGATACTTTAAAGCTAAACTCGCGTTTTTTCGCGCTTTTTAAGCCAATCCTGCGTTTGTCGCATTGGCGGGCCGAGAAAGATGGTTTACGGGGGGGTGGTTAATCAATTTTTAGAGTAGTGCATACACAAACTATAAAAAGAATAAAAATAAAAATATATAATTCGACATATTATTCTTCACAGGGTACCCATGATATTTTTTTCCAGGAGGCACAATTAGGAATTGCCCTGCTGGCGGTCCGCCAATGACGCGTTGCACTGCGTTAAAAACGCGTTTTTCACTCACTCATTTGTTATAGAAATGCCTAATTTCGCGACTTCAGTCTACGAAACGAGTCTTATAAATTTTGAAAAAGTGCAACGCGTTTTTCAAATTTAATTTCTAGCCAAAACGCGATAAATTCGTTTCAACTGAGTCCTAAAAAAAATAACGAAAAATTCGATGTCCTTTGCTAGTCTTGAAGTCTATTGCGACTGAAAACGTGTTTTTAAAAAGTTATGATAGTCATAAACGCGTTTCTCGCGAATTATTGATGGCAAAAAAACGCGGTTTTGATTAAGGCGTATATTTAAAGCTCAAAAAATTCGCCATATTCATGGTGAAACTGTATATTCTCGCGCTCTATGAATGCTAAAATCGTGTTAAAGCGAATTTTCAAAAGATATCGGTGACTGACTGGGCAAACACTATGTTCATTAAAAAGTATAAGAAATAGATTATTTATTTGGCGTTAGTTTCTTATTTATAGTTAAATAGATTCCATATTACTTTATTCGAGGCTGTGTTGAATTACTTTCTTTTTGTTTTGTATTACAGCTGACGCTGATACGCACACATAAAGTTACTTAAATTCGACGACGATGTATTAAAAAAGAAAAAAAAACGAATAGTATATGACTCTACTTTATATACTTTGCCATCGTCCGATCCCAAAACGTGTATATACACATTTATTTGTAATATCTATTCGTTTTAAATTTTTTAAAATGATACGGTTTTTTCTTATACATGTGATATGTTTCACATCATCAATTTTTTGAGATTCTCAATACAATTGAAATAAAACAACGGTATCCAACAATATATTCTGATCTTCGAACAAAAACAACTCATTTCATCAAGGTAAAACTATTTTTGAAACCGGTGACGATATATCAAAGAATCATGAAAAGATGGAAATAAAATATCAAAACAATGAAATGTGAATTATAACGATGTAACATAGAGTTAGGTATAGATCAACAAAAACGTATGTAGACATTGTCCTATCATTTTCATGAATAAAGTCGTTATCCGAATCTTCATGTATGACCTGGCCCACTAACATGTTCAGTACTAAAACGTAGTCTTAGAGGATACATCACGTCAGAGTACGGAAGTGGTTGAATTAATATAATTATGCTCTCCAACTATTATTTCATAATAACTAACCAAATAGTTATCTCTATTTTATAGTGCCAATTGAATTAGATCTTGAAAATAAATTTTTTCTTTCAAATTTAATGGATCACAAAGCTCTGAAATCTATGTTATTAAAGGAAAAGATATCAAATAATCCGACGTTCTATTCAAGAGAGTAACTTTTAACCATACGAGCGAGCTAATAGAAAAAGAAAATGATAAAAGAATTTCGTCCTAATTGAAAAGAAGAATAAATGAGTTTAAGCAGTGGGATGAGAGAATAGTTGTGGCATCAACATACGGTGTCAGTTGAATTTCTTTCTATGTAAGCAGAATATTGTGTTTCATATAAAAAAACGGTTATTTTTAGCGGCATTTTGATATCATCACTGTAGAAACTTCTGCGTGTATCTTGAGCATTACAGACGATATTAGATAGATCACTTTATTTAGGATATCTGTGACAACGTTTACCTTCGCGAAAAATCATTAGAACCTTTTGAAAAAGAATACTTAATTCTATGAGATATTTTGTCTATAAGAAAAAATTTAGAAGGCACTAGAACGAAGAGAAAAAAATAACAAAACGACAATAATTGAATTTTTTCCATTATTCAGTCAGCATCATTTTTTCAAAAAAGAGCCTGTAATAGTGAGTAATCATGATTTGTTTTCTTTCTAGACTGGATTAAAAGTATTTCTAATTTATTGACGAGTTTTCTCATAATTCTTCTACGATAAAATGCGACAAAATCAGGCAAGATAAATGAATTATGTTATTGTCAAAAACATAGTCAACATATTTATGATGTGTGTATATATGATCAAGGGTACATAACAAGTAAATAAGAAATGATTTAAGAAATAGATAAAATCTATGAGGATTTAAAAATGAATTATACAGAAAAAGAACTAGGAGAAATAATGGTAAAATAAAAACGTGAATTTTTCCAATATTTTAATTTGATTATAGTAACCACTCTGTTTGTAAATTATTGTTATATCTTATTCTCTATTAAAACACTATTAAATCAAATATCTTTTCTTTTAATATTTATGTTGTTATCTTCATTTGCTTTGAATTTTATTATGTCCATTGCATACTTGTTTCTTCATCTATTTTTATCGTCTGACAGTTGGTTATTTTTTGTGTTTTAATATTATTATTTATATTTATTATTTTTGGTTATTATATTGTTTTTGTGTTTTTTCGTTTAGATAGAAAAAATTCATTATATTCAATTTTCTTTTTACAAAAATGCTTGGCACTAGAACAGCTCGTTACTTTGATTTAGCTAATAAATCGGAAATGTTAAAAAAAACAAATGGACAACCGGTACTTGAACATGAATACAAAGAGGTTCCAACTAAAGTACCAGCTGATTGGGATGTATCACCCGGTGATTTATTATCATGGGCAAAATATCGAGCATCAGAAACATGTAAGTAAAAATAGTTTTTGCTTAGACTAAAGTAATAGACAACTAGAAATCTATTTATTTCGATAACTTGTTTTGCTGTTCATGGACATGGACAGATCACTATCTTATAGAAATTATTCTAGAAAAACGTTATATATTTTTCTTTCTGCAAGTAGAACATAGAACTTTAGCAAGTATATTTTTTATGCCTGTTTATGACCATCTAATGTAAATATCTATAGATGAGACCATTGTTTTAAGCGCCCACCATCCTTCAGAAATTCTCGGACAAAAAAAAATCGATTTTGAGATAAGTTTAAATACACGTAAAGATAGCCTGAAGTGTCTACTTTCAGAATCTGTATTGTTTTCAGTTGCAGAAGTGATTTTTCGCGGCTTTCGAGCAAGAAGCCTCGAAAAATCGGGTCTTCAAGTTAGGCATGCACCGATTATTTTATCGGGACTCTTGGAAGTAGTAGTTTTAAAAGTAGGAGAAAATTTTAAAAATTTTTCTCCTGTTTTTGAAACTACTACTCCCGAGAGCCTCGATAAAATAACCGGTGCATGCCTACTTCAAGAAATAGATTTTTTCCTGGATATTTATGCAATTAAATCTTTTGCTGAGCGCGTAGATTTGTAGAGAAAACTTTTCTAATCAAAATAAGACTTTGCACAACTCTGTTACTGTCTGTCAAGATCTTGCATCAAAAAGTTACAGGCATTTTCTTATAAGTCCTAAAATTGAGCATTTATACAGCGTTTAATACAACGTTTTCTCTACATGGGAGTTACACTTGAAGTATTTCCCAAGATTTTATAATATACTTTAAGCTAGAGAGTCTGTTTTTATTTTTATTTTAAAGTAGATACCTAACCGCATGGGCTGATCGGTACCAATTTTTCAATTTCTAATCTTCTCAAGATCTTAGTTTTTTGTAAAATTGAGGATTTCTAGAAAACCAGGAAGCTTTTTTCAGATTTCTGAGGTTGTTGGTTGTCTACAGAACGTACAAAGCCTTAATGAAAAATCGGCGCCGGTCAACCAATGTAGTTAGATGTCTTATTTAAAATAAAACAAAACCGTACTCTCTAGCTTGATGTATATTAAAAGATCTTGGGAAATACTTCGGGAGACTTTTTTGAACCTTGATCTCTGAAAAACTCCTAACCGGCATGACTTGGAGACAAAACAAAATTTTCATTTTTGTAACTCATTGTGCCTGTTAGACAACACTTAAGAAAATTTTAATTATATGTAAGCGTATTTTTAAAAGCTTATTTTTCTTCAGAACGTGTTGTTTTGCATATTTTTTATGTATTTTGCTAAGATCACTTTCTTAATTATTTCCTTACTATATATTTGACCGTTTCTGTCTAGATTTCGTGTTGGAGGATGGTACATTATTGAAAAATCCCGATCGTTCTGGCAGCGGTTATTTGACAATTCCTTATTTAATCACTCAACATACACGAAATGTTATGATGATGTATGAATATGTCATTAATGAATTGGGTAAAGATTATGTGTCAACAATTGAAATGCATCCTCAAGATCAATTTATTATTAAAAATTATGGTCAGTTACCCGAACAGATGTGTACACGAAATATAGAATATATCTATGATCCATTAGAAAAATTTCTCTACGTTCATGTTGGTGGTGCGTCAGGAAAATCAAAAGAATTTAAATTAGGTGAAACATCGGTAAAAGATATTCAGCAATGGTATGATGGTGTCAAAGAAGAACAAGCCCAATTTAGAGTTAAATATAATTTTGATGGTGTAAACCATCAAAAATATTTACAATATAAATTGCAAAATGAAAAAATACATGTACCAAAAACATGGACAATACAACCGGGTATAACAGATGCTGGACATGATCATCTCAGGTAGGCATAACAGTCATGGTTTGTTTCTCGGATAATATTCTTGTATTAGAACTGTTTTATAGTTCTTCAAGTTTATTTTCAAGATAATCGATACACTTAGCTTCACTGAGAACAAAACAAGGCTAGCGTCTTGTTTATTTCAAGTTGTAATATTTGTTTACTCACTGTTTCTTAATATCGTTTCAGAGGTGAATGGATCTTAAATGGAGATCGAAAACATTTAAATGACGCTAAGAAGCAAATTCAAGAATATTATAAAGATTTAGTTGTTGACGTTGAAGACGTGCCGTTATAAACATGTTCTTAAATACGTTTATTCATAGATGCTGGTCAGACATTTTCCTATATAATCCGTGAGGATCTTTCTTTTATCCATGAATTTTTGTTAGTTTTATTTCTGTCTGTTTTGTTTTTATTGTTGATGATCTATTATTTTGTGTGAGAGGTTTTAGATATTTTTTGCTTAACTTGTTGTTGTTGTTCTTTTATGCAAGCAATTTATTTCTCACTTTTCATCTATTTGAAATTTTTTTAAGAATAAAAAATAAATATTTTGTTCTAGAGAACGAGTAAAAGTTTTGAATACCCTCACTACACTCTGACCGATAACGGTTTTGGGCTGAATGATTAGAATGAACCAGACAGCGTATATGTGTTGAGAGACTGTCGTATTTTGTTGTATTGCACAAGTATTGACGATGTGAAATAGAACAAAAAGTATATCATCAGTTCTGTGAGTGCGTTCGAATATTAAAACGTTAACTTATTTTTACTTTCAAAGAACGCCAGAATGACATTTTTTGTCGTTCTTCTATAGTAGAATTTCACTCTGTTTCGAGTTATTTGAAACGAAGTTCGTCTATATGTGAATTACTGAAGAGTTCGTCTAAGTCATTCAGTCTAAGTGATTGTCAGTGCTTGTTTCGGTACTGTTTGACACTTTATCCTTTTCTATCCATTTTTCGCTTAAAGTGTTTGTTTAACCGTTAGATTGTAAAAAATTGTTTTCTCTATAAAATAAAGCGTTTTCTCTTTTGTGTGTATTGGAGTTTATTTAGCGAACTCGGCAAACTCAACTGGCAGAATGCCGAAAAAAGTACCCAACGCTTTATTTGTATAAGAGCCATTGCATCAGAGATACAGTCGTTTGTCGCTTAAACTGCTCAATCGATGGCGGACTTTTTCACTCAAACGTTCGCAGTAGATAGCAGCAACACATGTGGGAAGATTCCCCAATTTTTTTGATCGAGACTTACTTAAAATGTTATTCAACCTCATTATGTTCACAGAACAAATCAATGATTCATTCTGAGAATTGTAAACATAGCTCTAACTGATACAATGTTACGCTCAATAACACCGATGCAACTCTTTATCGTCATCGAAAATTAAGTTATCTATAATTACAGAAAATTGCAATAAAATTAACTAAAATAAAACATAAAAACTAGATAAGGTGGATGATGAATTTTTGTCATTTGACGAAACAAGTAGCGAATAAAGTTTTTTTCGGAATCGCTCTTAACGGCCGTCTTTAGATGCGACATGTATAACGGATGGACAAAGTCCTGGCTTATTTATTGTCATACCCTCTCTTCTCTCCACAGGCTGAGATATCAAATAGCTGTAATTATTTGTAGATCCGTATCGAATAGACTATGATTTCTGGAATTTTTCTTGTTCGAGTATGATGTTTCTCTTTACCTCTGTTCTAGAATTAAGTAGATCTTGAAGAGTTTCACATTTGAGAACCTTACGGAGTAACTCAGACGAGTTTTAGAATTTATATTATAGCTTGACTCCCATAAAGACATTTTCATCTTTATTGTGGTTTAGATACCTTTCACCTGAAGCATGCTATTAAGAACAGAGTATATGTTCTTCCGCCTATTTTCACGCTTTTAGAGGTTTTGTTCTTCAAAAAATTAGTTCATTTTTATAAAGAGCAAAAAACGAATTCTTGTTCTTCAGGGAACGTAGTTTTTGTTCTTTAGCTTTCTGAAAAACAAAAATAAACATGACTCATATTTTTTCAAAGAACAAGAATCCGCGGTCCATTAAAGTATTCATTTATGAAAATGCGTGTATCGGCGCAAATTGAAGAGAGATGATGAATGCGATCAAATGTTAATAATGACTGCCTTCTACAAACATAAAGCAATGAACAAATAAACATTTTTTTTGCGAGCTGCATGATCGTCCTTAGTTTTGTTGAAATCTTTTCTGTCAAATCATTGATTTTTGGATGATTATTCTTCTTTCAGATTCTATTCTATCGTAGTTCTGTCTGTTTGTTTTGCTCTCTGCTCAACCATGTAGTACAGTTGAGCTGCGATTGATTACTTCATCGAAGATTGGATTTTCTAAGTGATACTAACTAGCTCAACCTTCTCTAATCGGATACATGCTTTTACACTAACATTTGTTTCATTCATTTACACATTTTTCTTGTATGCTGCTCACAAAGTGAGCTATTTTTTTTACTCTTTCTGACATTATTTTCTCGTTTATGCTGTATTATGTTTAACTAAACCTGTTTTTCTGTTCTTCTACAAGAAACTTTTCTTATTTTGTACATCACCTTTCTGCTGATTAATTCAACTAACATTTCAACTTACTAATAAATTTTTATACCAACAAACTGATCCTCTATGACGGTAGCTCTATATATGAAAAGAAAGCCACGTTCTTAAATAAATGAAATCGTGAGGATCTGAGTTCTTCAGCCGATAATCTTGATTGTACAAATTCTGGCCAATGTTCATTACATATCGTCTCTCATTTTGTGTATATTAAGTTACTCTCTCTTTCTGTGTTCAATATTTCTCTCATGTTTAATATTATCATCACTCTCCTTTTGGCTTCTGCACTATGTATATTCGTTGTACAGCACTTACATTGGAGTCTATGGTATAATAAACTTAGTAAATGATAGAATTTCTTTTCTTTGTTTTTGAGAATCTTTTATTTGACGGTTTTAAATATATTACATTTTCATATCGTTCGCGACCAATGGGTCATGGATAACCCATTTACTTGTAAGTGCTTTTCAGAAAATTCGTACATCATAAGAAGAGCTCCTTCTATTTTGCTTGGAAAGGTAACACTCTACTAAATATTATGACACGGCTATGTTTCTCTGTAACGAAATCACGCGCGGAGCTCGCGTACCTCTCGTTTTGAAGGAAAAGGTGTCGTCTATTCGAATTCGTTGTCAAAAAACGAGTCCAGCGTCTAGTTAAAATTTAGTAGCCAAGATACTGAACGTGGGTGAAGTTTTCAAGCCACTTTGGCTTGTTCAATAAAATGTAATAATAACTCCAAATAAGATCATTATTTAAAGTCTTTTTTATGAAAACGTTTAGAAACAGCTCCCCTATCTGCCTATCTAACTTTCGAGCCAAACTCACGTCGCTTTGGTACACGAATAACGAAAACAGGATATCCAGCTTATAATTGTGAACAGGCAAAAACGACGGATTTCAATAACCATTTGTTTTCTTCAACTTGAGAGCCGTACTGAGCAAATCTGATCAATAATGATCTGATAATCACTTCAACAATTGCTGCTTTTCCCCCCATTTTCCCGAGAGCTTCACATGCATTCTATCTGACATGACCATTGTTATCAGCAAGTACAGTCACTAGTCCTCTAATAACGTCAGCAGCTGCTACTGATTAGAACTGCGACACATAGCGATTTTCTTTTTTTCCGTTTTTCTTTGTATTTTGTTTTCTTTTTCATGCTATATATAAAGTGAGTGTTCCGAATTTGAACGGAAAAAATGCATGATGCAGTTTATCCTTTTTTATAGCGATTGAGTAAGAACTTGTAAGAAGTTATTAGAGCACTGGTGACTGCACTTGGTGATGAGAATGCAGATGTGAAATGGCGTGCATGTGAAGTTCTCGAGAAAATGGGTGAAAAGGCAGCAACAGCTGAAGTGATTGAAGATCTCGCAACTGCACTTGGTGATGAGCATGTGATTGTCAGATGGCATGCATGCAAAGCTCTCGCCGAAATCGGTGAAAAAGCTGCCACTGTTGAAGTCATTGCAGATCTGGCGACTGCACTTGGTGATCTAGATTATCTTCATACTGTCTTCGGCATTCATCGATCACGTCTTGTTTAGATGCATGAGTGTTTTCCACTCCAAACAGGATTTCGATGAGGAGCTGAGAGTACATGAACGATGCTTCTTGTTTGCTGTTGTTTTTGTTCGATGATGATGACGGCATGACATTCATC